CCCCAACCTGAAAAGCAAAAGGCAAATAATATATAAAAATATGAAGATAGTGCAAGGAGTCTCTGGGACAACTTCAAGCATACCAACATCTGAATTATAGGGGTGCCAGAAGAAGAGAGAGAGCAAGATATTGAAAACCTATTTGAAGAAATAATGACAGAAAACTTCCCCTACCTGGTGAAAAAAAATAGACTTACAAGTCCAGGAAGTGCACAGAACCCCAAACAAAAAGAATCCAAAGAGGACCACACCAAGACACATCATAATTAAAATGCCAAGGGCAAAATACAAAGAGAGAATCTTAAAAGCAGCAAGAGAAAAACAGTTAGTTATCTACAAGGAAGTACCCATAAGACTGTCAGCTGATTTCTCAACAGAAACTATGCAGGCCAGAAGGGAGTGGCAAGAAATATTCAAAGTGATGAATAGCAAGAACCTGCAACCAAGATTACTTTATCCAGCAAAGCTATCATTCAGAATAGAAGGTCAGACAAAGAGCTTCACGGATAAGAAAAAGCTAAAGGAGTTCATCACCGCCAAACGAGTATTACATGAAATACTGAAGGGTATTCTTTAAGAAGAGGAAGAAGAAGAAAAAGGTAAAGATAAAATTATGAACAACTTTTAAAGCATTTAAACCAGCGTTTATAAATAGGTTGAGATGGAGCATGTTCATAAGCTTCCCAAAGTATACAATAACTTTTTCTTCAAAATAAAGTAATGAATTAAAACTTCCCAGAAATGCCCTTTTTTTGGCATGAAATTTGACATTTTTAAGCGTAAAAATATCTATGATGTTAACACCATCACTGGTACAACTAGTAGGTATGATAATGTAAGTGACGAACATGTTCTTATCAGACACATGTTGAAGTACTGAGAGGTAAAGTGCCATAATGTCTACAAATTATTCTGAAATGCTTTGGATGAAAAATCATAGATACAAAACAAATGTAGCAATATGCTAACCATTGTAAATAGTAAATCTTGGCTAAGTATACAGAAGGGTTTACTGTGTTATTCTTTGATCTAAAATACAGAAAATAAAGAAGAAAATACTTTAGTAAAAATTATTGCACAATAATTATACTTAAAGTTAAATTTCATTTACATTTTGCCCTGGCTGCTGTGGCTCAGTTGGTTGGAACATCGTCCTATACACCAAAAGTTGGAGGATTTGATTCCAAATCAGGGCACATATGTACCCATGTTTCAGGTTCGATCCTCAGTCAGGGTGCATGCAGGAAGCAACCAATCATGTTTCTATTATTTTTTAAATATATTTTATTGAGTTTTTACAGAGAGGAAAGGAGAGAGATA